CAGTGCTTACTTCAAGTGAGGCTGTTCCTGGCATCGGGAAGATGGGGGCGGGCATTCGTTCCAGCGTACGACTTGCGCGTGACAGAGAACCAAAGGCGAACAAACCAAGTTCTTGGGCAGCTTGCCTTCTTTCGCGGGGATACAGAGGGTCCCCTCTTAAGGTTCTTGGGTTTTTAGAGTGTTTACATAGTTATTAAGCCCGGATAAACCCTGTCCAGGCCACGCTGCACTGCTTCCTTAAGTCCCAAGCCAAGTGGGAGGCAGGAAATCCAGACTGCCGGAGTTTTGCTGGCAAAATTCTCGGGTCAGGGCAGGGGTCCCTTTTTGAGGAAGCCCTTTTGGTCATCATGTTATGGGGGGTTCCGGTTCCCTAAAAAATGACACTTGGGGTGGTTGAAGCATTTCCTTGGGCAAGGTGTCCTTCGGTGATGTTTGGAACAGAGGGACGGGATGGCCAGCGGAGTTTCAGGCTGGGACCTCGAGCTTCCATGGCAATTGACGAAGGGGCCACTTTCCATTTGGTTTCCAAGCCAAAAACGACCAACCGAAGAGGGGTTCCCCAAAAAAAGACGCATATGATGTGCCCTAGCTCCTGACACATGAGATTGGAGATCGCTTTTGGAGCTTGTTTCACATACCTTGGGCTGTCCCCTTCAGTGCATGGGCGAAACAGCACAGCCCAAGCAGTTTGACCGGAGCAAAGTGAGTGAACGCAAGCTGACCCAATATCCACATCAAGATTTGGGCGCCACTTGAATCCCAGTCTCCAATAATTCCATATGTCACAACCTATAGAAGGTTCCAAAGCGGTTTCTGTTGCCCGACATATTGAACATTGATACCATTAGAGATGCACATGTTCCCCAGGTTCCCCATGCCCCGCCTTCTGCGCAAGCGCCACACACCAAGTTAGTACCACTATCCTTCACCAGTACTGCCAATGGTTCTCAAGAAAACCAAGAGGGCTAGGAAGAGCAAGAGGGTGAAGGCGGCCGCCAAGAAGAAGAGCACCCCTGCCAGCAGCGCGAGCGCGACCTCGGAGTTGAACTTCGAGAATTACAATTTGGACAACTTCGCCGCGGAGAGTGCACAACTTCCAGAATCTTGCGATTTTTTGCTGTTTCTTCTTTCACAGGGTGGGATGCTAGAAGTTTCTGCGAGAGGCCAAGTCTAACGGAAGGAAATCCCTTGTTTGCAGGTCTTTACCGGGAGTGAGATGGGTCTGTTCTGGGTTGGTCCCAAAATGGGGGGAGCCCCCCAAAACTGGAGGATGTTCTATTGGCGTCCCTTTAAGACAACCCCAGGGTACATGTTGGTAGCCTCTTGCTAGTTTAAGAAGGACAAGAGCGGGCCCCATTTCCCTCCTTCCACACAAACCAGGGCGCCCAATGTTCTCACATCCACTGAGGGAGAAAGAGCATTGCTGGTGGTTCATATATGCAGATTGGAACTTTTGCTCCTTTGCCGCAGTATCTCATTGATCAGGTCAGGCACATGGCTGTTTAATACGGGACCCTGTGTGGGGCTAGTTGTAGAATTGGAAGCCGAGTTGCCGCCCATATTGTTTCACACACACCGGTTGCATTATGCGTGCTGATGGTCTCGCCTGGTTGCACCTCGGAATTTTATCGTTTCCTTACGAGTTGCTTGCAAATGGGTTTGTCTCAGAGTTTGATATGCACGTTTGGTTTCCTTTTGGTTTCCTTTTGGTTTCCTTTTGGTTTCCTTTTGGTTTCCATGTGGTTTCCATTTCCACCAACGTCCAAACAACTGGCCCCAGCTGAAAAAGAAAGATTCACCACGAGCCACACGGCTTCGACTCTGCCGATCGCCTTCGGTCTGACTCAGCGAGCGCTCAGCACTGCACCCACGGGGTCTGGCAGATGTGCTTCAACGAGCAGGGGGCTCGGCCTCGGAAATATTTCGGAAGGCGAGGGCTGCTTCCATTGGCTGTGGCTCAAGAATCCGGTCCCAAAATGGGTTGCCATGGTAAGTGAAAATATGGACCAAAACCTGCGGTTGGCCCCTCCTGTTTAATTTTGAGCCACACCCATTGGCTGAAATTCAGATTTTAGTCCATGTGTGCAACCCAGACGCTCCCAGACGCTTCCAATGGAAGACCCAGACTCTCCTTGGCTTCCACTTCAGAGGGGCTTTGGGGCTTTGGCTTTGGGCTGTTTGAGGGCCCAACATCAATCGGGAGCGTCTGAGTGAATATGTTCTTATTTTCCCCTGTTGGTTTTAAAGGGAATCGATTTCACGACTGGATTACCCCGAATGTTTGTTTGAGATTGTTCGTTGACAATGCCAGGTTTTGCCGTTTGCCCCTTTGGGATGCAGGCGATTTTTCTTGGCAAAACTAGGTTGGCCTTGAGCTTGATGATCCTGTTTGTTTTCAAAACATGCTTCGGCGCGGTATTCAGCGTCACCAGTGCCTGAGTGCGGTATGCCGGAAGTGTGTGACGCCACACAAGAACAACAAGCATGCTGATGCTCAATCTACCAGTTTCGGGAGTTTCTGAAACACCATTTTAGTGGCAAGCACAAGTCCGGACTTGTTTGGGTCTATTGGCTCAGGAGCAAGATGTTATGGCCAACATGGCATGAAAATACTGCTGCTACGAAGGCTTTAGATGATTCACGGTGGCTCGGTCTCCACACGATCGGTGGATGATCATTTGCCTGCTGAGCGGACATGCCGTTTTGCATGTCGGCTCTGAGATGATGAGAGTAGAGCCTCGAGAGCAACCAGAACCCTTTGTTGACTGGAAGGCCTTTCTTTGTTGCAGCCGCTTCCCCACAAAACCATGGGGCAACCGAGAAGGGTTCCATTTCCCTACATGACCACTGGGTCAGGCCCGCAGCTGTTGTTCTGACTGTTTGTGTTTTCTTGTCTCAAATTAGGGGACCTCCAAACAGGTTGGTGTCCTTTGTCGCACTTCCTGAGTTCTTGGACATTAAACTTTTCTTGACTGCTATTGGGTTGGATCTTTAGACTTTAACTTTTTGTGGAAATCAAGGATTCGGTTTTCCACTAACCCCCCAAAAAGTTAAACTTGTTGCAGGGGGTCAACAGCAACCAAGTTTCTGGGAAGACCAATTCAGCGGCAAACTAAAGGCCAAGCCACAGGGGAAGCGAGTTTCCCCAAAGGGCACACCATCCCGAGCCAAGGCCATCGACAGAAGCCAGGCGCAGCTTGTTGACCAGATTTCGTTCCGAAACCCCGTGGGAGAGGAGCCGGAATGGATTCAACCTTACCCCCCCCCCCCCAAGTGCTTTGGCACGCAGAAAAATCAACTTAACTTTAATCCAGGGCTCCTTAAAAGATACATTTTGCCATTTGAAACATGGCTTTTTCCAGCCAAATCAAGGAAATAAAGGGAAACCACCATTGACAAGGCAATGTTCAGGTATATAATGTAAGGATTCCTGTTAATCCCCCCCTCCGTTTTGAGACCAACTGACCCGGGTGGCAGTCCCATGGAGGTGGCGGTTTCGATGCTGTTGGGTCTATGGTTGTCAGATGTGATGACCTAGTCGCACCCCATGCCGCCTGGAAATAAATCCTTGGGAATCAGGGAGATCGGGGGGGGGGTGATGCCGTGGATTCGGATTTATCGCAAATGAACAAACTGGAAAGCATTCATGTTTTCTTACTTTCATTGCATAGGGGCTTCGACCTGGTCGTTTGAACCGACCCTGGGAAGAAAATACTTGTCCTGCCACGCTTTGCCCTCCATTTGCTTGGTTTTACGTTGTCCTTCCCAACAAGATCCTACCCCACGTGGTGTTCCGAAAAACCCAAACGAATGAATGCTGGAGGGTCCCTTCTTCCGAGGTTTCCCTACTCGAGATTCGGTTGCCTTGCAGCTACCCCACATTGACGTTTCTCGGTCTCTTGGCTCAGCCTGAGAAGGCCTTGCGCGGATGGGTGTTGCTGGGCATGGATCAGCGTTTTATATATTGCTGCTCCCTAGCAAGTTGACATGGACCCCCCCAAAAAGGTCTCTCAACAGCCGAAAAGGAGATTCTGGACTTCTTCTTCTTCAATTTTGTTGGGGGGGGATCCGAGCTAATCTGCAGCGACGTACAGAAGATGGATGTTTTGGTGACCATCATACGGATGCCCCTCAAATACGCCACGCCATGTGCCCTAGAGGTGTTGCCAAACATGTCCCCTGCATCTACTCTCCTGCATGGTCCGAAAGGAAGTTCTTCATGAATACAATTCAGCTTCTAAGTTCAACTGGGAGCATCGGGGCCTGCGAGTTGCGTTTAGCGGAAGAAGTGAGCAGCACTTTCCATCAAGCCAGTCTACCAGTGCCTATGGCCTTGGAATCAATCGCTTCACATCATGTTTGATGTTAACGGCAGACAGAGTCCTACGTCAATTAAATGGCGGAGCTCCGATGGTTTGGTATGTCAACCCTCGTGCACGAGTCCTTTGCGAAAAAAATAAAAACCGCCTAGACGACTTGTTGGAACAAATGCAGCATCTACCATGCAGCTTTCCGGGATGCTTGTTTACATTAAACTCTGTACATCAAACTCTAATTGCGCGCTGCTGGGTTTGCTCGAATCCGGCTTTCCGGCTATTTGTGGCGGTCGCCAGCTTTGAAATGGATTATCATGCAGCCTACTGCAGCCTACTATCCAGAATTTTTGCCAAAGGCATGGTAGCTGCCATTGACTGCAACCCAAGCAACAACTAGAAGTCTGCCATGCATATGTCAGAGAGCATTGCTGTATGGAAGCCAATCCAGCTACAGCATGAGCATGTGCCCCAAGTAAGCAAAGCTGCCCGTTGCCGCTATGACATGACCCACTGTCCACTTTATGCAAACTTAGTGTGAGCTGCACCTTCGATCTCCGCGAAAGCACAACAACACGACATCACCACATGCACTGAGCCGCAGAAAGACATAGACATAGCCGGTAGAGAAGCTCACCAAAACAACACAGTACACCAGTAGCATCCAAGAAGCCAGCTTCAATTGGAGCGAGACTGGGCAACTCGCTTCAGCAAGCTCTCAGCTCCCCTGAAACCGCATCGCGATGGTGGGGGCACGCGACGTGAAGATTGGAGGAGGACGGGCCGGCATTGGACTGGGCTGGGGGGGAGAACCGGGACGTGGCCAAATCTGGTAGAACCGGACCACCACCTGGACCTTTAGAGGAAATTGAGGATGACATTTGACTGAATGTTTGGCCATGTTCCAGCAAGGGCTGTGCCCAAGCCTCATACATCCTGGCACTTTGCACATGTTAAGGCTTCTAATCCTGGATGAAAGCCAGTTTGAAGGCTTGAGAATGGGAGCCGTGATTGAACTCCCGCAAGCTCTATCCTCTGGTTGCCCAGTAGGCCCCCACCAATCCTACCAGGGGCTAATGGCGACTAATAAGGCCCACATCTCAACAGGGGCTAGTAGCGACCAATAAGGCCTATTAGGGGCTAATATGGTTCCTTGTTGTCATTATCTTTTTTTTGCAGGGGGGGGCAATAGCCACCAGCAATGAAATTTTAGGGGCTCATAGGGTTCCTTGTGAGAAGTTCCCCTCCTTTGGGGGGCTGACACCCAGACTTCCGCTCGCCTCTCCAAGCGCCATCCGCGCAGGCGACCTCTTTGGATGGCTGTGCCAGACCAGCGCCAAGCGCCCGGCGGAAGTGATCCAGGCCGCTTTTTGGGGCCGAATTTTGGCCCAGCCAAAACGTTTCTTGTTTCGGAGGCTCCCGCAAACACCCAAAGTTCCAACTTAGACACGGGTTACAGCCCCAAACATCTGATGAATTCCCTTTTTGAGGGGTAGTTTGAGGGTGGCCCACTGAACATGGACCCCAGAAAGGAGTGCACTTCTTTTTTTTTTAGGGTAACGGGAGGTAGCGTTTGTTGTGTGGAGGGAAGCAAAAACCAAATTCTAGTGCAGAAGCTGGTGTTTAATTTCCGGGCTTCTTATCCTTGGCGTGAGGTCAGGGGGTTTCCCTTGTGCAACCCAGTGGTTGAAGTCATGAGGGCCCCCCCAACTAAACTGGGCTGATTTGTCTTCACTGTTTCCGGGGGGAAGGGTATCAAAGTTTGAAACTGGCGGCCATGTTCCTCTCACCCCTGGGAGTAACTTTGGTCAACGCAAAGCGCCGGTGCTTTGAGGGTTGCAGAGAGGCAGTGCATCCATTCAAGAGACTAACGGCCATCGGAGTGTCCCAAATCATTTAAACAATATGGCTTTCAGGGTGCCGACTTCAGAACGCCTTGATTTTTGATCTCAACTTGAGACAAACGAGTTCCCAGAGCTAGACGGCGATCTTTCTACATAGGTGTCCTTTTTAGGTTAGCTTGGCTAGAATGCTAGAAATAGATGGGTTCCACTGGTTTAGATGAGTCTGATTCCGTTCACCAGGCCCGTCCACTTATGCAAAAAGGCAGCCGTTGTCCTTATACACCATCCTTGTGGGGTGGGTTCTAAGAAACGCAAGAACGATCGCTTGCGTCCGATCGAACCATCAGTTGTTTTTTTTCCGCATCCGAAAGGAACCGAATTTGTTCTCACCCGTTTGGGGTCACCCAAGGTTTAAGCAACACTTGTGAAATTGTTTGTGTCTGTGTGGCTATGAATTTTATGGGAACGCCACAAAAGTGGGTGGACATGAGTCCCAACTGAATTGATGCTTACAATTTTGGGTGCCCCAAGATTCACAGCCGGCTGTGTGTGTGTGTGCGTGTCAAAATGGAGGGGCCTGGATCCCGAAATGGGTGAGTCCGTTCCGTATCTTCCATTTGCCTGAGGATAAGTATCTTATTGTTTTGTTGGTGTTTCCTGTTGGTTTTAAAGGGGAGTCTATCACTGGATTTCATGTCCTTTTCTCCCGCGGACCAAAAAGCAAAAGGCTGGGTGATCTGACAGCCTTTGGGGCTCTCGTGCGCTCTCCAAGTGCCCCAGCCCGATTCGGATCGCATCGATCGCATGGATCGAAGCGAGCGGAGAGGCCAAGAAGCGGGACTCTGAGGCGAAGAAGCCCCACGGCTTGGAGGGTCAGGACCGCCCTGGTCTTCACTCGGTCCCCCAGCTAGGTGCCCTTCTCTCCCGCTTCTTTTTTTGGGGAGATTCGGCTCCCCTACTAAAAGAGACAGAAAGATTCGGTGCCCCTACTAAAATGGCCCGGACTACAGAAAAAAGTTGGTACCATCTTATTCTAAGCTCTCTGCTGGAGGACCTAGTTTACTTTGGTCTACGAATCGCTAGACGGCGAGTCAAGCCTTAAGCCTGGGGGGCTTAAAACACATGGCAAGTGGGCTAGAGGCAGGGTTACGAAAGATTGAAGTCCCAGACCATCTAAGTAGGAAGCTGAAAAACCCCACACCCCCCATTCGAATGGAGGGGAAAGAAACCCCTGTAATGGGATGGTAAGGTCAGTCTCCGAAGCCAAAATTCAGCCGTTGCCATTTTATCCAGATTCATTTACCTGGTTGGTTGGTAACCAAGGCCTTGCCACCCTTTAAAACCGAAAGTAGCTGGGTACATATAAGGGCTTGCCTGTGATCCACTGGAATAGAGGCCCTCGATACATAAAGGTCGGGATCAGGGGGCCCTCGGTACATAAACGGAAGACAGGCCGAAACCCTGAAAAGGACAGCAGTAACGGCAGTCTTTCAACAATCAATCCATGTAAGTAACATATATATATATATACACATATGCCCGCATTTGCCCTCCAAATGGGTCAATGTGGGTATGTATGACCTACATGGATTGTTTGGGAGGGATTGTTTCGTGTATGTTTGGGGATTCGAGTTTAGATCTTAGATCTTGCATCCAGCGCTCCATGCCAAAACACGTTGAAGGGCTTTAACGGCTTGCAGGATTCAATAGTCAAGATTCCCGGGGCTAGCTTGGAGTCTCGAAGCCAAAGACTTGCCCAGCGAAAGCATTTTAAGCTTGGATGCATGTTTGAGCGCTGGATGCAGGTTTCAAAAGTAGAGTCCTGAGAAGCGCCTCGTTGGGTTTTGTCCTGTACTGGTTTCGAGATTCAAAGTTCAAGTCCTGAAGATCTTGAAACTGTCCAGCCACTTTGAGGCGCTTTGAAGCGTTTTGGACGGGAGTGGTCCCAGATTCGAGTGTCAAACGTGAGACCTCGGAATTTGAAGCATAGCAGATGCATGAAAGACGCGGCGAGGGGGGGGGGGGGGGCGTTGACGCATTTTCGGATTCAAGGTTCAACGCTCACATCGCAGGGTTGTTTTCAGTTTTCCGAGGCACATACATGTTTTGCAAACAATGTTTCAGTGCAACTCGTCTTTCCCAAACCACCGAAAGCGTCCACCATTTGGAGAACCTCCCCCCCGCCGCTATTAGTCGATAAAAAGGTATACAGTATATCCATTTGGGTATTTGTCTTTTTGAGGTTCCCCACATTTTGTGGGTTTTGAAGGGAAACCAAAAGGACCAATAGTTTTTGTGGGGGGGCGTCCAACCTACAAAATGACAGAGAACCCTTCCCCCCGCCCGTCCCCTCCCGGTTTGCCTTTAAAAAAGCTGTTTTCCGGCGCCGCCCCTCGCGCGACGCGCCGAACGCCCAAGGCTGGTCTGGGACTTCGTGGCGCGGGCCCCGGCCTGCGAGCTCTGCTCGGAGGAGGAGCTGCGCGCCTTCTGGGCCAGGCCCGGCATGGGGGCACGGCACGGCGGCGTGGCCCAGTGGAGTAACATCCAAGATGTCCAAGGCATTACGCCCCTACAAATGCATAGACGTGGCTGGTCGAAACCAATGGGATCCCATTTTGCGGTTTTCGGTGCACCACCCATTTTTGTCGGGATTTTAGTGGGGATTGGGATGTTCACTGAGAGTACGGGGTTTTGACTCATGGCCACATCAAAATGTCAACGGCATGGTACGCTCAGACATGGAGCCCAAAAGGGGGGGGGATGTGCATGACTCAGGTGGAGAAATGATCTTACTGGTTCGATAGGCAGGGAATGAGAAATGGAGTCCCCAAAAACCATCCCACTGGGTTTCCTTTCAGGGAATCGCCTTCCCTTTCATTCCCAAACCTTGGGTCATTCCGTACTGAGTACCAGCAAGTAACATCAATAACCAGCACCCCAATGATTCTGGCGCCGGAATTGGGTGGAAGTCAGGTGGAGTATTAACAGCAATGTCAACGGCGTAATACTCCCCTACAAGTTGACATGGAACCCAAAGGGGGGAACAGCAATGTCCAATAGCCCCATAGCTCGAAGAACATGTCACTTAACGCACCGCTTGACAGCAAAAAGGGTGTTCCGGGACAAGATGGTTTAGGATTCATACGACAAAAATGATTAGTAAACAAGGACATTCACGACTCGTTTCGTGCCGAATGAAAGAGTGGTGCCCTCTAGTGGAGTGATTTTGAAGCTGATATTTCTGGTTGAGTTTTGGATGCTCGGAATGGACGGGCAGAAGCTGTCTTCCCTGGACGCCCAGCAATAAAAAGGGTGTCTTGTTGGGGTATCCCAAAGCTGACCGGGGGAGTGTTCGAAGGGCATACTCCCTCCTTGGTGAGTTTGGGAGACTCGTCACTGGCAAGGACTGGTTCTGTTACGCCGACTTTTGGCCTCTGGGCGCAGTCGTCGTTTCGAGTCCCGAAGCCCAGGTTGGTGATGCCCTTGGTTCTTTCCTTTTGGAGGGGGGATTTCCTTTTAAACTTAGCCACTGGGGAGTTTGGAAGGTTGAGCTATGGTCCCTTTAACAGCAACTTCCAAAAGAGGTGTCTCTTTTCTTGTGGTTTTCGGGGCACGGCCAGGTATGGTTCTTCGACGCTGGGTCCTTTTCCAGCATGGGTTCCTGTGGAAGGTTCTTGGTTGGAAAACCAGGACAGTCCCCCACTGAAGCGGGGGGGTTGCCAGGCCTGGGGATAGGAGGAGTCCGCATCTTCCGTGTTTCGCGGTGCCCGACGCGCAGCCTCTCAGTTTTTTTCTCGATGGCCAGGGCGCAACACCTTGACAAGGCCGACCGGGGAGTCGTGGACAATCCCGTGGCGCGTGTCCCAACAGCCCGGCCCAAGGCTTTGCCCGTGGCTGCTCTTTTTTATTATTATTTTTCCCCGCAAGGGGCGGTTCTGTGGGACCTTCCAAGAACTGAGACACCCATGTCTTCTGTCACTTCCCCATGAGGATTTTGTTTATGTGGGTGTGAGACTGCTCTTGCACAATCGGTTTTGCGACAGACACTAGCCATAGCACTCCAACATTGCGATGGCAGGCAAGGAACACACACGACCCTACCTTGTGGACGTACCATGTCTGCATTTGGGCAGGCCAACATGCTTGAGCTGGATCGCTCGTTTCTAAGGTCATGTCCATTGCCCGCAAGCCACCACTCTTTGGACCTTAAATCAACGACTTGAAGGTCGTCTATCCCGTTTTGTGCCTGGCGCTCACGCTTCCGGGGTTGGGGGGGGCTCAGTATGGCCTGAAGCTTCGATTCGATATTTTATTTCGAGGTTCCAAATCTCTCCATTTACGGCAACAGCGATTTACGTCATTTGGAGTGTTTCTCCAGGCCCCCAGCTTGTGTATCTCTGGAGCTCAAGTTCCCTGAGGCCAGCGGAATTTTCTGAAGTCAGCTTCCCTGAGAGCCAAAAAACCTGTGCCCACGGCTGAGACTCTCCAGGCAAGCTGTTGCGTGGCCCTACGGGACCGCTTTGACTGCTGTCACTCGGACACGCCTCAGTCGCAGGCGCTTTTTTCTTCTCGGCTTGCGCAGAGTCGGAGGGCGAAGGAAGGGAGTGAAAGTGAAAGGGGTGTTTTGTATATTGATATCACATGAACACATATATTGTTTAGTATACTGTTTAGTATATTAATTCTGATAATGTATTTGTAAGTGTATATATATATATATATATGTATGTTACCGAGATACATGGAGACATTGTACATGTATTAAGTGTACACACACACACAGGAGTATGTATACATGCGTCCATTCACGTGTGTTCTTTGCATATGTATATATATATATATATATATGTATACTACTCTAAGACTAGACTACCTGGTTGTCAAACATATTCCCAACGTAGGGATCCTTTTGGAGATATGTGGATCTTTCGCGAAAAGTGTGGAGAACCGTTTCTCTAGAGATGTTTGGTGTGTTTTTGAGTCGGAAGCGAGCTGGAGACGCTTGGGGGGCTCCCTCATGAGAGGCACACACACGCGCGGACACACACGCACGCGCGGACACGCAACACCTGGGGACACACGTGTCAAGTTGAATATTTCTTTAAGATGAAATGTGACATGTGCTTGCGCTGTAAAGAGCAACTGGGTCACCAAGACTTCAACAGGTCACCACCAGCTACACAATTTGGGAATGAAAGGAGACAAAAACAGGCTCACACTTTCAATCAGGTCGAAAGGATGTCTCCTTTCAATATCACAGACGTCAGCCAGGCGTCTATGTTGGCGCCTAGCTAAATGCCAGGAGCCCCCTGCACGGTTTACACCCACGGACACACATGAGCACAGACACGCACACCGACGGAGAGTCGAGTAGACACGCACAGACAGACCGCAAAAAGAGAACAGCAGACAGGACAGCAGGAGGAGAGGAAGACAGTAAGGTAGGAAGACAGGAGGCAGGAGGCAGACGGAAGCCAGCCAGACGGACGGCCAGGAAGACAGGCAGGCAGACAGGCAGGTAGGCAGGCGCAACGACACAGACACACAGACACACAGAGACACAGACACACAGACACACAGACACAGAGACACGCACAGAGACACACACACAACACACACACACACACGCACAAACTCGCACAATCACATTCAAACACGCGCATACACACACCCACAACACAAACGCCCAGACACAGAGACAAACACGCCCAAGAACAGACGCACACACACACACACACAAACACATACACACACACACATGCAAAACACAGTCACACACACAATCACACACACACACATGCAAAAAACACACACACACAGACACACACACACACACAAACACCCCAACGTACCACACACACCCACACAAGCACACACACACACACACCCACACGCACGCACACGCACACGCACACGCACACGCACACGCACACGCACACACACACGCACACGCACACGCACACGCACACGCACACGCACACGCACACAGAGACAGACACGCACAGACACACACACAGACACACACACAGACACACACAGACGCACACAGACGCACACAGACACACACAGACGCACGCAGACGCACACAGACACACACACACACAGACGCACACAGACACACACAGACACACGCACAGAGACACACACACACACAGACACACACACAGACACACAGACAGACACACAGACAGACACACAGACAGACAGACACACACACAGACACACACACACACACAGAGACACACAGAGACACACAGAGACACACACACACACAGACACACTCAGACACTCACAGACACACACAGACACACGCAGACACACACAGACACACACAGACACACACAGACACACACAGACACACACAGACACGCACAGACACACACAGACACACACAGAGAAACACACACACACACATGAGACACATACATACAACTACGCACAAGAAACACACACACACACACAAAACCACAACGCACACAAGCACGCGCACACACACACATGCAAAAACAACACACACACACACAACATAGAAAACATAAAGCACACAAACAAAAAACACAAAACAGCACACAGTCAAACACAAAAACACAACACAACACGCACGCACGCACTCACGCAGACATGCACCCCTGAACCCGCACCCACACACGCACACACACACACACACCCGCACACCCACCTGTCCATTCACCCACCTACACAGGTACAGAGAGACTTACGCACACACAGACATGCACCACCCACTCGTGCACGCTCGCCCACCTGCCCACCCATGCGAAAATTGCCAAACAGGCTTGAAATGTAAAGATCTGGCTCCTTTCCGGGCTTGGCTAGCCGCTGATAAACTGTTCATACGGCGCAATGTAAAAATGACCAGCCAAGCTCAAAATGTAAAGATCTGGTCGTTTGCTGCTGTTTGGGCTTGGCCAGCCGCTGATGAATTGTTCATATTGCGCAATTTACAAAATGGCCATCCAAGCTCGAGAAGTAGAGATCTGGCCATTTGTTGCTTTTCGAAGAGCTCCGCGCAACACGCCTGCTCGCTGGACCATCAGCAAATAGTTGGAGGGTGTTCGAAATATGCGTGCCGCTGAGATCAGGGTTGCGTTCAGTTTTCTAGCTGCCGGCAGTTGTTTTCTCTCTTCGTGCTGTGCATCCATGTTTCCGCAGTCTTGGCGTGTCCCATAACTCAAGGCAAGACCCAACACTTTGCTTTAGGGCAGTGATCATGAACATATCGCATCGCAGTGCTTCGGATACAAGCTCCGTGCGAGACCTGAAATGGGTATAAACCGCTTGTGTCCTTACACCTCTTGCGTGAATTTGTCCATTCTACAGCATTCTAAGGCTGAGCGGACTGATGCTACCTGTGATGTTCGGCTTAGATGGACAATAAGCATCTCTTTTTGAAAGTACCCTGTTTAGGGGCTGTGTTGAGGGGAGCCAGAAGACATCACCCATTTAGTCAACAATCTGCGTAGCCTCGGGAATGGTGTACCTACAGGGGGGAAAGAGCACTGACTCAGGCTCGCAAAAAAATCAAAGAAGTTGCGCCCTTTCATTCCGACCCCCCCAAAAGTGGTCACAGTGCAATTTCGTATGTAGGTGGGTCCCCTAAAACCCCCCTTTCCCTTTAAACCATCCCCAAAAAAAAGACACCCCCCTGCAAATGATTTCTTGGGGAGGAGTCCAATCTCATTGGAGCTTTGGCTGACAGTGTGAGAAGCCATGCGGTGGAGCTCAGCTGCCTTGCTCTTGAGCTTTGGAGGTTTGGGGCAGAAGATTCTACCAGACCTCCCCCTGGTTTATGTGATCTACACGCCTGGCGGCCCCGTGGCGCGCGCAGTGGTGGAACCTGCTGAGCGGTGCCCAGTGCTCACTGGCAATGCGGCTGGAGACGAATATCTCCAAGCGGCGGGCAGTGTGAGGCTGCGGGCCGTTGGAAACCCAGCGATGCCTCATCGCTTCCCAGTGAAGGTCTGTGAAGTGCAGCTGCCCCGTGATGTGCCCAGTGGTGCTTTGTCCTTCGGACGCACGCTTCCCCCGATCACAAGCGCACCTGTGAAGACTTTGCTCGTGGGGGACACGGGTTTGCGTGTGAAGGCCAAGAATGATGGCACCTGTCTTCATCCGGGTCCAAAGAAGCTCTATGGGATCAAGCAGTGTAAGCCAGAGAACATCATCCCTTTCAACCCCAGTTTGGTCTCTGGTCGTTTCCAAAACCTCTCAGACTGGCCACTCCAGTCGCAAATGGAAGCAGCCACCTTGGAGCGACCAGACCTTGTGGTGCATGTTGGTGACTACTTCTACAGGCAAGGTCCTTGCCCCAGAAACAAGCCATGCACAGCCATCAACAACCGCAGCTTTCCTCGTCTACCTGGAGCATGGGGTGACAATTGGCAGGGTTTTGCAGATTTTTTCGCTCCTTCCATCAGCCTTTTGTCCCAAGCTCCTTGGATTGTCTTGCGGGAATCAACGCTGTCGAGGAGGTGCGGGCTTCCTGTTCTTGGACTCCCGGGCGGTGATTTCTGCGCCTACACTGCGCCGGGACGTGGTTCCGTTCGCCAACGAGCAATTTTTGATCATCACGGCGATGGTGGAGGATGTTGACGTTGACGATGTCTGTCCCAAGCAATCCGATCAGAAGAACATCTTCCCGTCAAACCGCCTTGAAGATCCTAAGCAGCACATGAACGAAACGCAGATTCTTGAACAAGTTGACCTTTACGGCCAACAATTTGGCAAGCTAGAGAATATGAAGCTGCCCAACGTCACCAACTTCCTTCTCAGTCACCACCCCATTTTCGGAATCAGGTGCAACAAAGGAAGGTATGAGTCTTGTGAATGGACGCTTCAGCAGGCCTTGACAACTTCGACTTTGAATGGAATTTCTGCCACCATTCATGGGCACGTTCACTGGTTTCAAGGTCTGGAATTCTCCGGGCTGCCAAATCACTTGGTTGTGGGGAACGGTGGCACCTTGCTGAGGAATTACACGGGCCCAGAGCACGGAGCCTCCGGCATGGAGCTTGTTCTCTCGGGGAGGTCTGTCCCCGTCACCCGTGCCTTCACCAAGGGTGTCTTCGGATACAGCTCCCTCGCTCTAGATGGGAGCTATTCCTTCACAGCTTATGAGAGGGGACAGAAGGAGAGCATGTGGGACACCGTCCTCTCATCGGGGCGCTTCTTGAAGGAGTCCATCTTGGTCTAATGAGCCACAATCAAAACCCGGGTAGATGGTTGTGGTAAGGGATGGTCCCAACCATAAATGGGTGCAGCCGCCTGTTGAATTCATTATTTGATTCTGGCTAGACCATTTTGATCCCGGGTTTTGATGATGACTCGAGCGCAGTTTGTGAATGATGTGTACCTGCACCTGCCGGAAAGGCGATAGCGCCTTCACAAGCAAGGCGTCTCACCACTGTACAGCACCGGTCATCGCCTGACTTTCCTGCACGCAGGGCCGTGTACAGCTTTCCATGCTCAGTGATAGGTTGTTTGTTGGGTGTAAAGCGGTGCTAAGTTGCCTTCTCCATACCATTGTAGAGATCAAACGACCGCCAACAAAAATGGTCGACTACATCTCATCCTAAGAAGTTAGTATACTTTGGGGGTTGTCAAAAATGAGTACCCTTTCTGGGCCATGGTTTATGTGGGGGCCCGCCTTTGCAAGGGGTACAAAACAGGGTCCTTATTTTTGACAACCCACCACTTGGTCCTACAAGGGGCTTACATCTCATTCATGACTTACTCTGGGCAATTGATTGGGTTGCATCAAAACACACCTCAGGGAACCAAAAGAAAGGGGGCAAGAGAGAGCTGGGATCTTCCAAGCAGCATGCTGGGGGGAAGGACTGTTGCCATGAGGGGCATGTGGCTGTGAGTCAAAAGCAGGTACCAAGGTGGGCTTCGCGGGTAAATGGATCCAAGGCCTAAACCCGCGGTCGCCGGGTGGTTTACTTTTGACCCATACCCATGTGATAAATTTGTCACGGAAGGATCCCCAAACAACACGTCGCATGTGGGTTTTATACCTGCTCCAGGCGATAGGCGTAAGTGTCTTCATCTCAACAAGTTTGGCGAAACGGCAGTGCCTGTCCCCCTGTGATGTTCCTTCCAAGGAACAAACAAGTAAAGCACCAGCCAACTCAACTAGCGCGGCCATCAAGTCCATACAGAAAGACCGAAAGCAACGTACAAAAAGCTTCCTTTCAACTTTGGTTTACACTCCAGACTACCATGGAAGCTCCCCTTGTCTTCCATTTTCGGAGTCCCTTTGGAGCTTCCATGTTCTAACAGGCGAAACCTTCAAACGGCGAGTCCTCTTTCACGCGCGAGCTTCCGCCAGGTGCGGATTCTACGGCTTCTGAACACCTCCTCCTTGGTCTTGGGAAGGAGACTCGCCCCAGACTCGCTCGCCCTGGCTCTCGTGGCGTTTGTTGTTTTTGATTATTGTTATTTTCGGTGTGCCAGGAGTATCCACCTGGACCCGAAAGAACTACCCATAAAAAAGAGAACTCACCAACCATATTTTTAGGGCTATCTTTTTTGAATGGAGTTGTGAGGGTTCAGGTAGGACCAAACTTATTGTGGATCTGGTGATCCGCTGTTCCATTTACCAGGCACAACGGTCCTATGGGTGTGTTTTGGTTGGTATCTCGCAAGGGACCTAGACTGCGATAAGGGTTCTTCAGCAAAGAAACCATGGCCATGCCCCACGCATGGTGTGACCATTGTGTGATATTCAGCACACATCTTTGAACTCAGGTCGCCAGAGCAGGACCATGCTCGAACAAGGCGTTCATGCACAACTCATGTTTTTAGATTGCGCACATAATATAATATATATGTATATACTTGGTGGCTCCCAGCCATCGCCTTAGCTTTTTAGACTTGTAGTGTCTAGTGGGGGTTTCCATTCAACCCACTAAAAGTTAAACTTTTAGCAGGGGATCTGAGGGCAGCCCAGGAGATATATATATATATATATTTATATATATGCATGTATTATGATAATAATTGACATACGGTTCGAAGTTTAGGAATCCGCCGCGCCGCTCCTCCCTTTTGCTCGTAGTGCTTCCGTCTTAGGCAGAAGTAGGATTGTGGTAGGAGGGAAATCCTCCTACCGGATGATCAGGAGTTGCAGCCCCGGCATTGCTTGCCGGGGCTGCGACCAGTGGAGGGTCTCCTCGCAGGGAGCTTCCAGGCACTGCGGGGTCTGCCGGGGGCTCGGGGCATTGAGGAGTCTCTGCCTCGACCCCCGGCTGTCGGCGCCATCTGATTTGAGTGCCCTTTTGGAGATTCTCCAGGGCGCTCAAAGCCAGGTGCTGGTGCTCCTTGAGCAGAAGGGAGCCAGCAGCCGACGGGAGCCTAGCCGATCTCCTCGTAGGGAGGTTCGGGAAGGATCTCCTCGAAGGGAGGTCATCAGGCCGACCCGCAGTGAGTGGCGGCCGTCTCTTAGAGAGAGAGACGAGGCCCGGGTGCAGAGAGAGATCCTCTCTACTGCAACCCCAAAGAGCAGCTCCAGTGCTCGTGTGCCGCCACCTGTTCCTCCTAGAAGGGAGGACAGGAGTGCCGAAAGACCAGAGGCTGAGCGTCTGGTCCTGGCCCCAGCCGAGGCGAAGAGGAGGCCTGTGGAGCCCGCCTATCCCCCTCCGAGGTGGGAGGGTGGAAAGGAAAAGGGCAAGGGCAAAGGCAAGGTTAAGGGCAAGAGCCCAAAGGGCAAAGGAGAAGGAGCTTGGCCCAAGAGGAGCAAAGGAGTTAAGCACCGCAGTCGTCAGGAGCGGTGGTGGGCCGAGGGTGGCCCGGGCTACGAGCGTGCAAGGGAGAGATCTCGGTCTCCTAGGAGCAGTGAGGTTGAGGAGGTAAAGGAGGACACAGCCGCCCAGGAGGAGCGTGAGGAGGAGGAGTTCCGTGCGTTGGACCTCTTGGGAGATCGCCGCCCCAGGGGGGAGGAGGAGATCGAGCGGGACTTGGAGTTGGAGGAGGCAGAGGAAGTGCTTCCCGGCATCAGGAGGCCGGTTCCCTTGGAAGGGGAGTCGCAGGCTGAGGCCTGGGCCAGGAAAGGACGCTCGCTTGAGGTCTTGAGCGATTTGGATTAGGTAGAACTCCGAGGGGAACCTCGCCGGAGCCCGCCAGAGGCTTAGTGTGGGATGCCAGTGCGACGCCCTGCTGCAAAGGTCGTGTTAAGGAAGCCAGCTGCTAAACTCCCCGTCAAAAACACCCCAAACCTTAACAAGGAGCTTGAAAGGCCTGGTATCCTTAAGAAAAGCCGGGGCGGCAAGAGCCCCAAGGAAGCTGAGATTGAGAATCCATTCCTTCCTTTTGACTCAGGTGCCATTTGGATTGGATCGCAGTTGCATTTGAAGGGAACTTATTGCAACAACCCTGTGGAGGTAGTAGGTGAGATCACTGCACGGTTTGAGGATTCCAGTGGTAACTACTAACTACCTTAAATTGCAGGTATGTGGGAGCCCTCATCTTCACGTCCAAGAGTACGTGCATGGAGCAATCCGGGCGGGGCTAGCAGGAGAGTTGTTTATACCAGAGGGAGTGATGAAGGTTCCAGCCCGGGGACCGGAGTTTTTCCACCCCGTTCTGATGAAAGAGCCAGATCCTGCGTTGCCCTGGTGCCGAAATCTAGTGGTAGGAAGCAGCCCGACTCCTGGAGAGGGAGATCTAGGTCAGTTGCATCAAGCCGCCGAAGCCATGGGTTTCAGCCAAAATCCGATGCCCCAGGCCCCGCCGAGCGCTCCTCGATTGGGAGCAGGCCAGCCAGATCCTTTGCAGGACCGGGACGGGGGTTCGGTGAGCAGTGGGGAGAGCAGTGGGGTCAAGAAGAAGAAGAAGAAGAGGAAGAAGAAGAAGAGAAAGAGATCAGGAGGGCCTCACAGACGCACAAGGGAACGCATCAAAGAAATGCTAGTGAGGTCGAGATGGAACTGGAAAGGCAGCAGCATAGACCCCATGTTCAAGAAGCCTCGTCTCAGGGTGAAACGAGATCATGGAGGGAGTTCCAGCAGGGGAAGCAACAGCTCCTCATCAGAGGACTCAGCCGAGAGCGGAGGATTGTTCCAGGAGCCCAGTCAAGTGAGACGCATATCCCAGAAGTGCCCCGGCCTCCTCACCAGACATGGGATGTCGGAGGCAAACAAGTTCCTGAGGCAAGCCGAAGGTTTCTCCTCGGGGGGAGACGAAGTTCGACCCGTCATGATGAAGTATTACCGCCAACAGGTTGTCCAGAGCGGGGCAATGCCGAGCAAACCCATGAGGAGAGAGTTCCAAACGCTGGCATGCAACGGATGAAGAGCCTAGAACTCATGGCTCAGGGGGGATCCCCCGAGACGGCCATGAAGGTCGAAGTGCTTCTCCCCGACACCGCTCGGTTGCTGTCGGCAGGGGAGGGACACAATGCCGCCCAGGAACAACGGACATCAGAGCGCCTGGAGACCCAGCTGCGAGGAAGCGCGGGGGGGAATCGTTGGATGAGTCGTTGGGAACCCCCCAAAGGGGACCGGAAGGGGGATGGCAAAGGAAAAGGAAAGAAGGGCGAGGGAAAGGACAAGGGGAAGCGTTGGGAGGGGGGCAAGCCAGCAGCTCAAACTCAGGTAGTTGCCCCCTCCTAGAGCCTGCCGTAAAGTGTACCAGTGCATGCCCAATTTATGATTGTACTAGACCGCCGCAGCCTCGAATCCCTCCTTTGCCACCCCGTGCTAGGACTAATAACCGAGGGCTCTTAGTTGGAGAGTTAAGCGTTTTGGGATCACGACTCCTGGCCTGGGAGAAGCTGCAACAAATCAAGGATGCTGTTCACTCCAGCATACCCATCACGGGACGGGACTTGTTCCCGCTCCCTCTCCCAGACTGCCAGGAGCAGAAATGGGGTTCTTGGTGCCATGCCGGTGTGCATGCCCTGAACGTCATGACCGTGGGGTCACCAGAATCGCCCATGGGGGCTGGATCACCTGGACAAAGGAAACTGCTGTCTGAATTCGTCTCCGTGTTCTCTAGGAATGAGGACTTGTTCAATTGCATGATTCCCGAGGATTCCATTGAACATTTTTGGAATTCCAAGAGCGTGAACGCATATGGTGAAGAAATCCACCATTGCAGGTCGGTGGGCTGGGCCAATCTACGTTCGAGCCTCCCGACTGCAGAGCAGGCAGGAGTGCTATCGCCGGAGATGGTAGCCACTGGGGGAGTACTAGATTTTCTGGAACACCCCACCAAGTATTTGTTGCCGTTGGATGAGAGGGTTAGCATGAAGACCCCTCGCGTTATGATCAAGGATGATGATTGGGACGAAGTGTCTCTAGGCTTGGTGAGACGAGGAATCTGCGAGGTTATTGCAGTGGAGGATGTTTTCCATGTGCATGGATCTCCTTGTCTGGGAGGACTCTTTGGGGTGCCTAAAAATGAGACCACCCCTGACGGACACGAAGTATTGCGGTTAATTATGGATCTGCGCCCCATTAACCGTAATTTCCTAGCAGTTCATGGTGACTTGGGAACCTTACCAATGGTGACATCGCTAGGCGGGCTAGAGGTAAGGCCGCATGAGGACCTCTTGATAAGTTCAGAGGACATCAGGGCTATGTTTTACATAGTTGGCCTAGGATCTCAATGGCGCCCGTTTTTGGCTTTCGGTAAGGAGGTTCCTGATCAGCTGAGGCCTCCGGGAGACAGCCGGCCCCACGTGCTTACCAGTCGTGTGCTGCCAATGGGGTTCATCAATAGCGTAGCAGTAGCTCAACACATCCACCGAGAGATAGTCAAGCGAGCTCTGTCCAAGGTAGGACCTGGTGCCGAGTGTGAGTTCAGGCGTGACTCGACTTTCCCTCAGTCTGAGGTTGGATACCGAGTTTACTTGGACAATTTTGACCTGTTAGAGAAAACTAACTCGTCAGCCGCAGAAGTCTTGAAGGGATCCAGAGCCCCCTCTTCGGATGCTCTTAGACGAGAGTACGAGAAGTTGAAAGTGCCAGCCAACCAGAAGAAGTCTGTCAGCCGAGCATCGACAGCTGAAGTGCAAGGTGCCCTGGTAGATGGAGTTAGGAATATAGCTTACCCGAAGCCTGAAAAGTTCGTCAGGTACCTCAGGGCAAGTTTCTTCTTGCTGTGTCAAACTGTCGCCAGCCTAAAGCAGTTGCAAATTGCCTTGGGAGGGTTGGTGTACCTCTTTCAGTTCCGCCGTCCGCTGATGGCCAACCTTAATGAATGTTGGTCATTTCTGGTAGAGCTCGGGCGCCAGGATCCTTCGGGGACTGCCATGTTTCCAATACCCACTGAGGTTAAGAAAGAACTCTGGTTGAGCCTTAGTCTTGCCCCGCTGGCCTACATTTGCTTTGGAGCCGAGTTCAGCGAGGTTGTCACATGCTCGGACGCTTCCGAGC